AAAGTGGGCGTGAAGATGGAGCCCTGATGGCCAGCCCTTGCAAAGAGCTGCCAACAGGAAGGCCCTGGTATTTATGTTAGAACTTCATGCCACAACCTGGCAAGGAGGGACCATATGACTACCCTACTCTAGCCCTGGAAAACAGTGTCCTGGGGTTAAGTTAAACAGAACTGAAGCTAGTAAACGTTCAGACATTAACAAGCACTTAAATTCAGCACCCCGATGTCTCCCTTCTAAGGGAATGATCCAACACCAGTCTCTCAGTGGAAGGAAGATTTAGCCTCCTGAAAAGTGCCATTTCTTCAGCTTGTTGGTGTGTGTGCGTGTGTGTGTGTGTGTGTGTGTGTGTGTGTGTGTGTGTGTTTGGAGGGGCTTTGAGGGGCTGGAGAGACAGCTCAGCAGTTCAGAGTACATGCTGGTCTTGTAGAGAACCTACACTGATGCAATCCTGTGTCAATATTATTTCATTGATATTTACTAATAATTTGACGAGAGGAGCCTGCGTGCCTGTAACATTCTGAAAAGCAGAACCAGAGTCACTCCCACGAAATGGTTGTTGGCAGCTGAGCTGGGGCCTGCCCTCTTGGAAAATGCTATTTCTTTGATGAGGTTACCATTTCAGATCACTCTCTGAAGTATACTTATTCCAACGGTTTATTAAGCTAAAAAATAAAAAGTCTTCCAGTCTGAGGGTGCACACAAGTGAGAATCAGGGTGTATGGTTTATTTTAAGCAAGCACCCGAGCTGCCTATGGGGCAGGATGCAAAGTATGATCTGGGGGATAGAGGAGAGACCAAGGTCTAGGGCTCAGCTGTCTCCCATCATTTAAGCAACTTGTTCACTTTTATTGGTCCCAAAGACATGAAACATCCCAAAGATGTAAAGGCACAGATATTTTCTAGGGTATTTTCTCAAAAAATGCCATGCATATTATAAAATCCTTCATTAAACTCATTTATGTATAACAATACAGTTTCCAAATTAGATAACACCGTGGTAGGATGATTTGATACAGTTTTAAATAGAAACTAATGGGGAAATATGTTCAGTTAAAAACAAAAAACAAAAAACAAAAAAACTTCCCCAAGAACAATTTTTCTAAATCACCTCTAAGTAGGTCAGTGACAGGCCACGGCACATCACGTTGTGCTGAGGGTCAGTGACATTAAAATAAAGCCGACTTCCACAACCCCCACCTCAAGAGAACACTGCATGCTGGATCTTTCAGAAAGCATATATAGTATTTGCTATTTCAATACACAGAAAGTTGAATTTGCAAATCCACATCGGAGAAAAGAAGCTGTGGCGGAGTTGAAAATTCAAAAACAAAAACAAAACCAACTTATACCCTTTTTAGAGACTTAAGTCTATGTGCCTGCATTCCATCCTTCCTAATTGGCCACTATTTCCATCTCTTGGTCTTCTTCCTGAAAAATCATACTGTACCCCCCCCCCCACACACTTATATTTGTCCTCATATGTAGGTATATACATTATGGACTAGAGCTTGCTATTAGGAAGAACAGCTGGTTTATTTCTGAGTTGGGTCATTTTGCTTAATATAATTTCCAGGCCCATCCCTTTCCTGCAAATGTCATGATTTCATGGTTTTTGGTGTTTGTGTGTGTGTGTGTGTGTGTGTGTGTGTGTGTGTGTGTGTTTCCCCAGCTGAACAGTAGTCCATACCTTCCTGTATGCCTCACCAGTTAATAAACATCCAGGCTGGTTCCATTTCCTTGCTGTCACGACTAGAGCAGCAATAAACATGAATGTGAAAGCAACTCTCCGGTGGGATGCGGAATCCTTTGGTGTGTGCCTGGTGGTGTGTAGCTGTGTCATATGGTAGTTCTGTTTGGCTCTACTAGCCTGCACTTTGGTCAGCAGTTAACCAAGGCTCCTCTTTTTCCACGTCCTCTCCGACATCTGTCAGGTGTCTGGATGGTAGCCATTCTGGCTGGAGTTGGGGTGGTATCTCAAGGCGGTTTTAGTTTGCATTTTCCTGAAGGCTAGAGATGTTGAAAACTTCTTGAAACACTTAAAAATTAATACAGAGAGGTTGTGCACAGAGTTGGGTCAGGCACTGTGGGAGATTTGGCTTTGCTTTTCAGGCAGAAGGACCTTATAGCT